TTCCATGTCCAGTTCTAACTGTTGCTTCCTGACCTGCATACAGGTTTCTCAAGAGGCAGGTCAGGTGGTCTGGTATTCCCATCTCTTTCAGAATTTTCCACAGTTTATTGTGATCCGTGGTAGTCCACCTTATTAGCTGTTTTTGGAAGCCAGAATATCCCAGGTCATATGAATGTGCATACATACATACATACATACATACATGCATATGAATGCAGACATATATCAGGTGGGCTTCCCAAGTGGCACATTGGTAAAGAATCCACTTGCCAATGAAGGAGACACGGGCTCAATCCTTGGGTCAGGAAACTCCCCTGGAGAAGGAATTGGCAATCCACTCCAGTATTTTTGCCTGAAAAATCCCATGGACAGTGGAGCCTGGTGGGCTGCCATCCATGGGGTCACGAAGAGCTGGACACGACCTGAGCGGCTGAGCACATTGAATGCATCGCGTAAGAAATTCCCCCAGTCTTCCAGCTCAAAAACTTCTGAAAAAGCCTCCATCTCCTGGGACACACTGTTTTCCATATTCCATTTAGGTTCATAACCCGAGCCATACAAATGCCCGATTTAAAGGTGTATATAGATATATATCTTTAAACTCAGCACGTTTGTCAGATTAAGCTGTTAATATTTTTTCAAATTATAATTCAGGAAGCAGCAGAAAGATGAATGACTATCAGACTCAGAATTCTGATTTTTTAAAAATATTATTTATTTGTTTGGCTATGCTGGGTCCTAGCTGTGGCCTGTGAACTCTTAGTTGTGGCATGTGGGAATCTGGTTTCCTGATCAGAGACTTAGCCACTGGGCCACCAGGGAAGTCCCCAGAATTCAGATTTTTATTTAATAAATATTTTAATCACATAGTTCGATGCATATATCACAGCATACATAAATATGTAAGCACCTGTTTCCTTTCTGCAGACTTCACTCTATTACCATACCAAAGGGGGACTTTTTGTGTACAGCAAAGATCACTTATAGATATTTAGGTCTTCAATGAATGTTCAGTGTACTAGAGATACAGATTCAAAATATCAGATTTTCCCTTACAGAGGTATAACTTGGAAAACCAAAATTTCCTTCAGTTTTTAGGTTCAACATTATTTGTTTGTACATTTGGTATTTTAAAGATGATCAAATAAAAACTGTAACTCTCAGTGGGCCTTTGAAAAACACTTGATCAACTCAAAGTAAAGACTATAGTCCCTTTACTCAATAATTAAAACACAGTTATGAAAGACTTCAAACACAAATCTTTCAGAATACATAATCAGGCTTCCTTAGTCATCACATCTGAGCCAGTTACTGTGAGCCATTGGACACAGCTATGAACAAAGCAGAACAATGAACTGCAGTGAATAAAGCAAAAGTATCCCTTGCCTTCATGGAGTTTACATACGTGTAACTATTAAATTCATTCACCTCTTGTAAATCTAATAAACCGAAGTTTTAAATGAGGAGCACATCAAAGTCAAAATTCTAACTTTCAACTTCAACTTACAAGTCTAAAATCTGAGTTGGCCCTTGAACAACACAGGTTTGAACTACCCAGGCCCACTTATAAGTGGTTATTTTTCAATAGTAAATACTACATGGTCTGTCCATCTTTGATTAAATCCGAGAACTATGGGTGGGATGGCAGCTATAAATTATACTTGAATTAACCTGGTTGTTCCAGGGCCAACTGTATACCTTTGAATTAGAATCACAAAGCAAATGTTTGTCTAATTAGTGTCACTAATCTATCCGACATGTAAACACCAAAGGTACAAATGATTCTTAAGCCTGATTAAAAAATTACAAATACTATGAAAGTGAGTTGCTGTATCATTTCTCTATTTAATTCTAAGCCGTCCTACTGGGAACAACTGGGATGACACAGTTGAACTTACTTAATGAACGGGTCGTGACCCAGATACTTGATTGTCTCAAGTAGACTGAGAGATTTGAAGCTAGGACTGGGGACCTAGAAGTTGTGTATGACCAGAGTGAATCGTTCCACAGGACGGATGGACACATCAAGTCTGATTTTAACAGTGGCTCTAGTAATGGGAGGACTTCCCCCGTGGCTCAGATGGTAAAGCGTCTGCTTACAATGCGGGAGACCCGGGTTCAACCCCTGGGTCAGGAAGATCCTTTGGAGAAGGCAATGGCAACCCACTCCAGTACTCTTGCCTGGGAAAACCCATGGACGGAGGAGTGTGGTAGGCTACAGTCTATGGGATCGCAAAGAGTCGGACACGACTGAGCGACTTCACTGCTAGTAATGGGACTCCACCTTTACGTGGGATTCGTTTCACCAGATGTTGTTTGCTAGATTCAAGTCTTACCTTCATAACTTCTTTTGATGTTGCCACTTACTTTGGATGGATAGTTTCTTAACAGCCCCAATCTCTCCTGCTTTACTGATTTGATTCAGCTAACCCACCCTATTTACTGCCTGGTTCTTCTGTGTCTGGCTATTTGGCTTTGGCTCCGAGAACATTCTGTTGAGCATGGACACTGGGTGATATCACTGCTCTGCAAAGGCCGGCATTCAGAGGTGGCTGAGTGGAGCTGTAACTCTCCTCCCAAAATACCTATCAACCCACCCTCATTCCTTCATATCAACAATGAATCAGTTTTTTCAGTTTTAGGTCAAGTATGATTCAAATTCAAATCAAACCCCCCAGAAAAGCCCTGGATGACCCCCTTCCCTAAACAAATTCTCCCCTCTAAGCCCTCTTTATATAGAAATTCTAAAATTATCATTGCTTCTTTGCTTAAAACCCTTCATTGGCTCACTTACAATAGAATACAAAACCTTTAACATGCCCTGCAAGTCCTTGCGTGATCAGGCTCTTGGCTTCATCCATGATCTCATCATGTGCCTTCCTCTTACGCTCCAATTCCAGCCACACTGGCCTTCTTTCACGTCTTCCCACTGAAACCGAGATTCTTTCCTACCTCAGGGCCTTTGCATGCACTGTTCCCACTTTCTGAAACATCAGTCTCCCCACTGTGTGCTTGGATGACTCCACATCCGGTAGGTCTCAGCTTAACCGTCATCTTCTCACAGAGGTGATTCTTCTTTGTAGATCTCAACACAATCTGTGTATTTATTTGCTTAGTCCTTTAGTTACATGAGGCCATGTGTGGTGTTCTGTTTGCCCAGCACCCATCACAGCATATACTAGATAGTCAATAATAATTTGTTGACTGAATAAGTATCACAGTTGCAATGTGTGTGTGTGCTCAGCCACACAATCGTGACCCCATGGACTCCGGCCCACCAGGTTCCTCTGTCCATGGGATTTCCCAGGCAAGAATACTGGAGTGGGTTGCCATTTCCTCCTCCAGGGGACCCTCCCAACCCAGGGATCTAACCCAGGTCTCCTCCATCTCCTGCACTGGCAGGAAGATACTTTACCACTGAGCCGCTTGGGAAGCTCACAGCTGTCACAACAATCACCACTAGCCTTCAGTCACAACTATTATAATCATTCATAGAACCACTTTTGGCTCATGGGAGCTAGAGTAATTGTTTGTTGAATTGGATTGAGATATCTAAATGTCAGTATCTCATGCATCCATTAATAGAATTATTTTTATTACCTTTATGGTTCTTTACACATTTATTCTTTAGCTTCTAAAGCTGGAGGCTTTCTGTTCTTAGCCGTCCTCTTACATTAAAGAAGACATTTTAGCATGCCTTTTGGGGAACTGTCCTTTTCTAACTTTTAAAAAATGTCACTGAACATTAGCTAATTGGTATAGGGTTGGTAATAAATCTTGATTAGTGTAAATACACGTTCTATAGGCTGCTTAGTGATTTTTATTTGTTTGTTTACCCTGGTTTCCTGAGAGAGGCATATGAGTAACCCTGGCCCCAGGTTACAGAGGGCAGCCGGGAGATATTGAATGGAAGTTCTAGATTCTATCATGTTTGTGGCTTAAGCTCCGCCCCCTTCTGTGTGGTTCTCCAAGAACCTTGCCCCCCTCTCCCCCACCCCACCCCAAAATTAAATTGGTCTTGGAAAAGCACCAAATTGTGCTAAGACTCCTGAATCTTAACCATTTAGGACTTGGTGGCTTTTTTTTTCTTTGCGGGGGAGGGGCTGTTTTTTTTTGCGGTATCAGCCGGATCATGGCCTCATAATGATTTCATATCCCCGTCTCTGTACCTTGGCACCTGCGAAGATGAAAAAAACAGCATAAAATACTATTTTGAACGTTGCACCGTCACTCACGGAAAAAGGCGCAAAGGCGTAAGAAAAATCGGCTTTATTTTTGTTTACAACACCTAGGCGTTTTTTGGAAACCCAACCAGAAACAGCTGTGCAGAGCTGAGCCTGCAGAGGGGCTGTGGACCTGAATGCACGCTGTCGGGCTGGGAGTGACTGACCCCGGGGCCTCGGGGGAGAGAGAAGACGAGTCGGAGCCGCCTCCGCCGCGCTCTCCCGGCGGCGTGGAACCAGGTGCCCGGGCGCTGGCGGCGGTCGGAGAAGCTCCGGGTTGGCGCCCCCTTCCCCCGGCTCTAGCTGCCTTCGGGGTTGGTGCAGGTGGGGGCCAGGCAGGGCACCGCGGATCGCCCCGTTCCCACCGACCGGTTTCTCTTCCTTTCTGCGAGGGGGAGGCGCTAACCCTCAAAAAAATGTAAATATCCAGGCGCTGACTCCGGGCTGGGGCACCAGCCGAGGTCCCAGGGCCGCCGCCGCCGCCGCCGCCGGGTGTTTTGCATGGAAAATGAGAAGCCAGACAGGATCGGTGCTCTTAACTTAATACAGCTCGGCGATTAGCAGGAGGCCGGGCAGCTTCCCGGCTCCCTGTCCATCGATAGCCTTTCTGCGCGCTCGCGCTCGCCGAGCCGCGGTGCGGCCGTGCGCGGTGTCGTCCGGCAGATGCCGCATCCTTGGCAGCCATGGCTCCCGTCGCCGCGGCCAGTAGGTAGGAGCATGCACGTGTAGGGGGGGCACATGCGTGTCGGCGCGCGCGCGCACACTCACACACACGCACACACGCACGCACACCACCCCGAGCCTCGGAAGGAAGGAGGAAGCCCGACGAGGCGCTGCAGCCGCGAGGACGACTCGGGCTCTCCGTGGATTCGGCAGGAGCCGGCCTGGCGCAGCTGCTGACTGCAGAGCCTGCTCCGGATCGTGGGCACACGCGCCCCCCACCCCCGGACCCGAGCCTCTGGGATGAAGACTGCCTCCCGAGGACTGCAGGGGAGGCAGAGCCAGCCCGCGCCAGGGACTGCGGGCCGCGCGGCCGGTAGGCCCAGGGGGACACGACTTGGACGCTGTCATCCCCACGCCTCGCTCTGAGTCGCCGGGTGCCGAGAGGGTCTGCCGCCGCCCCCTCCGGCTTCCCGGGCGCCCGATCCCGGGTCAGCCCCGGAGGCCCCGGCTTCCTCATTTGTTTGGGGCTTTTGTGCCGGGGGCTCACAGTTGGCTAAGCACTCCAGCGCTGAATCGGGCCATTGTCTGCGCTCCCATTGCTTCCACGCTGCAAGTCTCGGCGCCCCCACCCCGCCCGCCCCGCTCCCCGCCTCCTCCTGGCCGGGGAGCCTCCTAACGTGCCTTTCCCCCCCACAGGAATCTGGAAGCTATAAGCCGGGCGGATTGCAAATGAAGTGTAATGCATTGTGGGACGTGTGTAAAATCGGAGCCTTCGCCGTGGGGGTGTGTGGGGGCGTGGGGAGGGCCGGACCCGCCGCTGGCGGTGTAGACGCCGACGAGGAGGGGCTGGGAAAATGCGCGCAGAGTCCGCCCGGGTCGTGCCCGCCGTAGACGGATGAAGCCGCGCGCTGCGCCCCGGCGCTGAGGCCCGGAGGATCGGGGGCGGCGGGTCGCCCTCTCCACCATGAAGAAGACCCGGAGCACAACCTTGCGGCGCGCCTGGCCTAGCTCGGATTTCTCGGACCGGGCCTCGGACCGCATGAGGTCCCGCAGCGAAAAGGACTACCGCCTGCACAAGCGCTTCCCCGCGGCCTTCGCGCCCCAGGCTTCGCGGGGCTACATGACATCAGGTTGGTAACCGCGTTTCTGCCCCCGCGGGCCGGGACCGCGGGGTGTGCTCGGGTCCTTCCCCGGGAGGGGACGCGCGGTGATGGATGCGATAAGTTATAGGGAACGCAGGGGGAAAAAAAAAATTAGCTCCCATCCACCATTTTGTACCTCTGCAAGATCCACAGCAGGCCCTCTCAATATGGGGTTGGAGAGCTGTTAGTTAGGTAAAATCTGGGAGGGGGACGCGCCAGGCGTTTTGGCTGCACAGATAAATGACCGCCAGCCCGGGCGCCCAGCCTCCCTGGGCTCGTGGAAGAGCCGGCGTCCGCGGTTGCCCTCAGTACCGGGCCGGCTCGCTCCCTCTCGGTGGCCAGTTATTATATCCTACCGGGTATTTAAACAGTTCCTCTTTCTTACAAGGGAACAGGTTCCATGCACAGTTTTGGATGGTTTGAGTCAGGGGAGAGGTTGCATTCAGGCTGGTCGGCTTGCTTGCACTCAGGGAGCTGTGTCGCGGCTCATTGAATGCATTCGGTGGGGTAATGGTGTGTATGCGGATTGAATGCTCACATGATTCTGCGTGCATTTAACATATGTTGCTTTGAATTAGGTTGTATGGGAAGAATGCAGGCAGTATCATGTGTTTGCATGCCAGACAGGAAGGACAAACAAGACGGTAAATGAGGATGAAGGCTTCAGAAAGGGTTTCGTCTTAAAACGCAAAGAAGCCTTTCTAAAGGCGCCAGTTAGTTTCCTTTGGAAATGCAGCGGAATGGCTTTGCTTGTGTGTCTTGGGAGCCCAGGGATAAAATCCTCGAAATGCTGAAGGAGGAGGACTGTGAGACTTTTCTCGTTGTTTTCTTCTTTCTATTGACCACTTCTATGTAGTGATGTTTAAGACACCAAGTTTGGTTGATTTGGTTTTCATTCTGAATGAATTCATTTTCTTGGAAACAAAATGTCATGGAAGAACCGAGATTATATTTGAAAACACATCCTGTACCAGACCATTCTAAATCCTGGGAAGATTGCTTTAAGCTTACAGTTGGTACTTAAAGTGTAGCTCTACTATCTCCTAAAACAGCAAGTTGGTTTTTTTTTTTTTTTAACCTAGGCCCAGTATTTCATGCTTTAAAAATGTCTTGTGACTGCACTTCTATGAGTAGAAAACCTAAATAAAATACCCATCTTTTTTTTTATTGCAAAATCTGGTGACATAAGGATGTACTGTTTTGGCAATAAGGCTCCCTTGATTTTCCCGGTCATGAAAAACCAAATTTGTAAAGGAAGTGACAACTACAGTTTATGCTTCAGTAATTGAAGTCAATCACTCCTGTGGTTGCTTTATTCTTCAGGCTGGTGGCAGTAAATTTGGAAATACAGCCAAATCCAAATGTAACCTCAAAACATGTCTGTCCATAAACCCATGTCTGCTCTGGGTGTTCAGATAATCTCAGGTTTCATATGTTTGAGGTTTGAATGTCTTCATTCCACTGTGAATGGTTCCCCCTCTTTTCTTTTTGCCTCTCTTCAGAAATCAGTACTGATACCAAGTGTGAGGCTGGAGGGGGGCAGGTGGCGGTCATTTCTTCAACAGACCTGCAAGACTCTCTAATACTTTCAGGAGTATTCCCATGGAGCCCATTCTTACCTCTCTTGGCATAGCATCACTATGATCACTGTTTCCTTCTTTGCTAAAGAACTTCTCTGCTATTGCCAGTTTTGCAGGGTATTTTTGAGGGCTTGAGGAAGAAGCTTTTCATTTTCTTTGATTCTCTTGTTTCATTTCTTGCTCTGCACATGGCAAGCTGGTCCTAAGGGGATACTGAAGGCTCAGCTCTTTCAGGCTGGTGGAGGTCTGTGTAGATTTCACATTAGCTTACTGTTGAGAAAAGAAAACCCAAAGGTTGGGGAAGAGGAGCTATGTGATTCATTCAGCATTTCATGGAATCTCCCCTGCCTCAAGCAGAGCACCTTGCTAGATTCTCATGGGGCTGCAGGGTTGGATGTTATATAGTTTTGTCCAAGGATGGAAATGGTTATTTATTCTTTGTTTTAATTATTGTCCAATACATATAATAAAAGGGGTTGGGGCTCATGGAACGATCTGATAATTATTAAACAAACTCCTCCAATGAACACTGGAAGAGTAGGTGCTATCTTATATATACATCTTTCTGGGGGAGATTGGGAATAGCTTATCAATTTCCTTTCCAAAGATAAGTATTGATAGTAATAGGTGGTATATTGAGACACTTGGAGATCACATGGGAGAAGTTCTCTTCCCCTTAACAAATGTGAGAAAATCCATTTGTATGAAGTTAGGGACTCTGGGTACAAACAGACCCTTTGTCATTTAAAAACAAAATAGAAAATGAAGCAACTTAGAAACAAGTGAGGCTTTTCATATTTCTTCTGTTCAGTCTTTTGACATAATAGCTACTAGTGTTTATCGTACTTCTCAGTAAAAAGAGATTTTGTTGTTGAGTTCAAAGGACAAGATAAGCTTCTTCAGAGAAGCATTAAATGACTTAATTTCAGTTGAGGTATTTTTAGAAATTCCCATCCAAAAAAATTCCTTAAAAATATTGTGAAAATCACTTTTTTTTAAACTTTAGGAAAGGAAAGATCCTTAGAAGTTTTAATAGTTCTTCTTTTGGTCTGGCCTCCTGTCACACAGTAGGTATTTCAAGTTTAAATGTGTTTATTTAAGGCAAAATTATAGGCATTCCATAATAGCTTTCTAATGAGACAGCACCTTTTCAAACAGTCTTTTCTTCACTAATGCATAATTACCAGTTTGAAATGTGATTTATAGCAATAGGCTTGACATTTAGCCTTAGCTTTTTCGTGTACCTTGGGATAAACTACACTTAAGCTCAAGA